GCACCCCAGAAAATTATTTCACATTTAAGCTTGGCAGGGCTTTGTACCTTTCTGGATTTGTCAGAGTCCTTTGACAGTCCCTGGAGCTTTCTGGAATTGAGGGTGCAGCCGCCTGGCTGGACAGGGAATGGCACTGCTGCCCCAGGCCTGCAGACCCCGGGCTGTCCCCTGAGCAGCTCCTCCTGCTCTTCCTCCTCCCCTCCACCTTGGCAGCCAGCTCAGGCAGCAGAACAAGGGACAGGACAGTCTGGCCACAGCGTGGCTGTCGGGAATATCAGCAGCAAGCAATGTTTCCTGGGAGGTTTCATTTTCAGTCTCTCCTGGAACACCATCCACCCCGCGGGAGGGCCGTGCCGGTGCCGGGCTGCGGGCAGGCCTGCAGGCAGCGCTGCCAGGCAGGGAGCACCAGCATCTGCTTGCAGCTCCTTCCATGCCCCATTGCTCTCCAAATGTTCCCACAGCCCTGGAGCGTGGTGTGGGGCCGTGGGATGGGGTGGCTCCCCTGGGGTGGGGTGGGCACCCCGGCTGGCCACTGGCTGTGCCACCTTCCCTCCCCACACCGGCAGCCACGAGGAGTTTTGCTGCTGCCGCCTCTGCCGCGGCAGAGAGCGTGTGCCCTGAAAATCCCCGTTACCCTGGGACCCTGGGTGATGCCAGCGGTGCCCATTACTGTTACTGTCAAAAGCGCAGGCAGGGCTGTTCCCAGCTCCCCTGAAGTGACTTTCTCCTCATGGCTTCAGCAGATGTTCCAGCTCCTTCGTCTCTTTTCCCTTTTTTTTAATTTTTTTTTTAGGGCAGTCAGGACTTTGTGAGTCGTTTCCTCCGGGGACATGGGCAGGTTTTAGTATTTACGTTTCCAGTATTAGCATTTATTTGTATTTGTGTTTGTTTTTCACGGGCTTCTGAAAGCCTCAGGGAGCCATTTATGGGGCCAAAATAATGCAAGTGCTGGTCTTCTCACAGTATTTCATTTCCTTGATGGTGGAAATGCTACGAGAAGAGCAGGTCTCATGTTATTTTGACCCCATAAATAGCTCCCAGAGGCCCCTTTCTTCCTTCTCCCACCCACTCCCCCCCAAATCAAATATTTAGGTTTCTGCAAAGCCTGACTTCTCAACCCTGGTTATCTTGCTTCAGCAGAAGCAAATTGCAGTTATTACAAAATAGCCAGAGAGTCTATAAGGCCGAATGGGTTTTATATGATGCACAATTTGTTGGCTACTGTACAAGTTCATTAAAGTGTATCATAAGAGGTTGTTTTACTGGTACATTTAAGGAAGTTAATACATCTCGACAGTATATGCATGGGGGAATGCAGATACAATAACCCTCAGACATGCTGGGGCCAAGTCCATTCCTGGCGTAACTCCACTGGAGTAAACGAAATCACTTGCTGGGCAGCCATGTCCTGCTCTGCTGGCACGGTGCTGAGCCCTGATCCTGCTGCCCTGGGCTCTGCTGCCCCTCAGCCCCATCCTTCCATGAGGGGATCCTTGGGTTTGCTTCTGTTTTGTGTTTTCCAGCAGCGTGTTCCCAGCACAGAGGGCATCAGTGGTCTGACTGGTTGTGTGATGGGTCTTCTTGAGGTCTGGGAGGTATTTCAGTCCCTTTCAGCTGTGCCATGAGGCTTGGCTGTTCCATCCCAGGATGCTGCTTTTTGTTTTAGGGACTGGCTTCTCCTGGTACCCACAGCCCCACTACACCGTGGTGGCTCTTCTGCACTTGTTGGGTCTCTCCGGGCATTGGATCTATCAGAAATCATCCTCCAGTTTGTAGTCCGTAATAGGAGGGTTGTCCCCATGTCATGGAGCCATTCCCAGCCTTGTCTGAGCTTCCCATGGGAATGGTATCAATGTCCCTCTGTCGTGCCCTGGTCTGCTGGAAGGGCTGGGGGAAAGAATAATATTAAGTATTGGGATTTTTTAAATTTTCTTGTTTATTAATGAAGCAGGCCGATTTAGGGGCACGCAGGCAAACGTGCTGACGGGGATGCAGGGGGTCAGACGTGCGGGCAGGTAGTCCCTGGTGACCATGTAAAGGCTAATTGCCCCCCTGGCGTGACCCCGCCGTGCTCGAGCGCCGGGCGAGGGTGAGGGCAAGAGCCCAATTTCCTGAGCACGGCGGTGTCTCTGCGGCAGCGCTCGGCACTTTTACAGGGCTTCCTTGGGTATCAAAATACACTGCTCGTCTGCCTCGCTGGCTAATGAGTTCCAGAGTTTGCAGTGCCGGGCTGTTTGAGAGCGCCCGGACTCGTATTCCGTGGGGAATGCGAGGATGTCCCATCCGCAGCGCTTGGGGTGGCAGCTCGGAGGTGGGAGCTGCTTGGGTCTTAGCCCGGCACTCTCTGAACCCAGAGGGGGACAGAGGGCTGGACGTCATCCCCTCCAGTTCCTCCTGTCCCCCTGCACCTTCCATACCCTCTGTTTTGTCCCTCCCTGTCAGAATTGTCAGGTTTTCCTGCCTGGCAGCAGCAAGGACAGCTCAGGGCGGCCGCACTCGGGGCTGTGGGACACAGCTGGGATGGGACCCTGTCCAGGCCCTGCGCCCACCCGCTCTGTCTCCCCCTGATTTTTGATCCAGGCTTTTTCCCTGGCTGGCATCAGTCTCTGCAGTGCCACCCCCTGGCAGGCCCCCGCAGAGGTGACAAGCACTGTCGGCTGCAGAAATCCTGCAGACCCCAGAAAAGCCCGAATTCCCCCAAATCCCATCCCGGCAGGGTGTGCGGTCCCACACAGGGCACCGAGGGACAGGCAGGACACGGTGTGGGCACAGACAGGCAGGACCTCGGCCCCAAGGAGCAGGAACAGCCACGCAGGATCCACAGGGGAACAAATGCTCCTCGCTCTGTCCCTCTCCCTTCTTCAGCCACGGTTACTGGAAACACATTTGCCCGAAAATCAATTATAGCTTGAAGAGAGAGCAGAGTCCCCCCACGAGGAGCCACGCTGGGTTTGGGGGAGCCCAGCGCCCCGAGCTCTGACGTGGGATGTCTAACCAAAGCCAGCTGTGTGCTGAGGGAGATAAAAGCCCCAAATCAGACAGGATAAGCACGGCATTAGTGTGGGATACGCCACTCAGTTCTGATTTAAATTACTGGTTTTACTTCCTGAACTCATGGGAGAGTAAGGATGTGAGGAGAATGAAGAGGTTTAGACAGGGACATTCCTTCACCCAGTACTGCTGAGGCATGGTGGTGAACACAGCCCAGGTCGTGCTCACTGCTGCTCCCAGGGTGACCAGCTTCCTGCTGATTTGTTTCCCTTGTATCCTGGGCAGATTATCTCCATCACAGGTTACCTTGGGGATGAGGGATTAAATCCCACAGCCCTCACTGCTAGGTGTGTGCTTGCCTGGCTGCTGCCCTGCAGTGCTCAGGTGGTGAGGGGAGCAGGGCAGTGTCCGAGGATGCTGGGGTGGGAAGGTGGGATGCTTTTTGGTTTGGGGAAGAACTGACTTTTTGCTTTGCCTTGCACTATATGTATAGATCTATCCTTATCACATAGTCTCACTGAAGCAAAAGGACTGCCAGGGTGTTCACAGGAGGTAAAATATCCCAGGTGAGGCAGTGGAAGTTGTGGAGCTGCAGGAATATTTTGCAGAGAGCGGAGAGGGCACTGCTCCTCCAGCTCCACCAGCTCCTTTGCATCCCAGCCAAGCAAAACTCGGGATGCAGGGACAGGGAAAGCTGCCTGTCTCCTCCAGGAGTTCACCCCTGTGCCTTATAGGGAACTATAGAATGGATAGCATGGGAAAAGACTTTAAAGCTCATCCAGTTCCACCCCCCTGCCATGTTCAGGGACACCTTCCACTATCCCAGCATGGCCTTGGACACTTCCAGGGATGGGGCAGCCACAGCTTCTCTGGGCAACCTGTGCCAGCCCCTCCCCACCCTCACAGGGAAGGATTTCTTCCTGATATCCAGCCTAAATGTACTCTGTTTCAATTTAAAGCCATTCCTCCTTGTCCTGTCCCTCCATGCCCTTGTGAAAAGTCCCTCTCCAGCTCTCTTGGAGCCCCTTCAGGTGCTCTTTCCCCCTTGGCAGCAGAGGAATTATTTGAAGCTCCTGTCCCTGTCCCAGCCCGGGCTGCGCAGACGGAAGTCGCAACCCGCCGGAATATTTCTTGTCCCCTGTCACCGCGTGTCTGGGAGAGGATTCCTGTGGTGGATGTGGGCTCTGCCTAATCTCACCCTGCCTGCCACTGCTGAGTGCTGCCGGGGGGACGCTGCCCAGCAGCGCTGCTGCCGCCGGGGCCACCGCTGGGTTCAAGTGGCTCACAGAGAGGCCGCGGCTGGAAACGACGCTCTGCACACACAGAAATCCTCCTGTTCCGAGATTAGGGAGCAGGAAAGGCTTTGGGAGGTCAGAGAGGGGAGATGTCTGTGTGTGTGTGACCAAGAGAGGGAGAGCCACAGCCAGGCTGCTTTCTCCTTTGTTTTGAGGCACAGCTCAGGAAGGGGGATATTTTCTCTATGCCTTGAAAAAGCAGAGTTACTGACATCCTTTTGGGTAGGATAACAGGGTGTGGGAAGTCCCTGGTGTTCCCAAGGTGGAGAATGGCAGTGGTTAGGCACTGTTGGTACACACCATCAGTAAGCAGTGCTGCTGCCAGTGCCCCTTCCCACATGGCTGGGAGGGAAGATGTTCCATCATCTACCACTGTTCTCTTTGTGCCCTGCTCAGTTCTGCCGTGAGCATCCCCACTGTCAAGTCCTGACATGTCATGACTCAGCAGCCTGGACCCCAGGGAAGGGGCTGCTCTGCCAGGCAGCAGGTAATGCCTCCCTCCAGCTCCTCTTAGGCTCAGGTGAGCCATGAACCCAGCAGGGAAGTAGAACCAGGAGCTGGCATCCCCTGGGAGTGATTCCCAGATCACCCCAGAAAAGAAAGATGATGAGCAAACCTTGGAGCAATGAGGGATTTGTCAGTTAAGAGCCTGTCTAACGGCACTCTGGGTTTGTCCCAAACACTAACCAGGCCCTGCTCTCTCTCCCCTTGCAGAGCTTCAGCGAGAGGGAAGCATAGAGACGCTGAGTAACAGCTCTGGCTCCACCAGCGGCAGCATCCCGCGCAACTTCGACGGCTACCGGTCCCCCCTCCCGACTAACGAAAACCAGCCCCTCAGCCTGTTCCCCACGGGATTCCCCTAAATTAGCCGAACATCCAAGGAGAGATCCAGACAGGGTAACGAGCCGCCTCTCCGCCTAAACAATCCCGCTGTGTCCGTCACCTGCCGGCTCCCGCGGCGCTGGATGGTTCTCGTTACCCTGATGAATATTGACGACTCTCAGACCTTCCTGAAACTGTACTCACGAAATCTTGACTCTGTGTCCCTGTGCAATATGAAGAGGCTCCGTCTTCAAATCCTGACAGCCCCGCGGCTTCTTTTCTCGCTGTCTTCAGGGAAGAGGTTGGGTGAGGAGAGATATTTCTAAGCCATTTTTGGGTCAGGCGCGCGGTCCCACGGCCGCTCTCTGCTTTCTTCGTGTTGAGAGATGAATTTCCGTAACTCAGAGGAGCTCTCGCCGTTCGTGCAAGTGCCGAGCATTAATGGATGAACTGGAGAGACTGGAAACTGGAGGACTTGGTGTGGACAGGGTTGATAATGTTGTTCCTTCCTCGTCGCGTCTCCTTGCTGCCCTCCTTCCCCTCTGACGCTCATCGATGCCAGGAGTATTACAAATGGAAATGTTTCTTTTCTGTTCTTTGGAAGGATTCTCTCTATTGCTCCGGTTTTCTTCTAGTCATGTATTTTAGAAACGTACTTAATTGACTAAACTGCAGTCACAGATTTCTCATATTTGGTTATAAAAGTTGTTCATTGGAACTCAGATATCTGTCCAGAAATGCATGTGTCATTGAATAAATCTAAGTTAAACAAGAAACTGCTTAAATGGCAATGTTCATGGAGTGTTACTGGGCTGACTGTGGGCTTTGTGTATCTCCCTGGACCAGACTCTGGGCATATTTGCTAACTCAAGGGCTTTAATTAAAGCCATCAGTGGTTGTTAGGCAGCCAGTCTAGCTTGGGTTTGCCTCCCCACTCCCTCATCCCTGTGTGTGAGGGATATTAAAAGTAAGGGATAATAAAAATAAGGGATATTAAACCCAAGATATTTAGGTGGTGCTTTGGCACCTCTGATAACCAACACCCATCTCTTGGGGGTGTCTGAGCCCAGCTCCAGCTCCTCATCTTGGCTGGGGCCCTTCTTCTTTGTCCCACTGATTTCTGTGGGACAAGGACCAGGTGCTGGGAGCACCCACCTCCACCCGTTCAGTTGTGGGATCACGGACCAGAGGCTTTGCAGAGCTGTGTAACAGCCTGAACCTCCGTGCCCTTCGGAACGTGCACAGTCAAAACCAGTCCCGCATAACTCTGCTGATAAAACAGTCCTGGGCTCACACATCATAACCACACAAATTCCTACATCTCAGCCAACTTGTGTCGAGAAGCAGAGTGAGATGGGACTGTCAGCTTATGAAATTTCCTTCCCACTACTTGTTTTTAATAGAAGCCGTTTGAGTCATGGTGAGGAGAGGAAACTATCTAAACCCACAAATCTTCTCGCACTCTTACAGCTCAAACCAGCCCTGCCAAGGGACGCAGAACCGACCACCCTCTTCCTCCTCCATCCCCAAACACCAAATACCCAATTCAGTCCTGGGCTTGATTTTCTTTTTTGTTTTGTTTTGTTTTTAACTGTAATGCAGCCACTCAGAAGGTTTTGTTTTCTTCAGGCTTGGAAACCGCTAATAAAAAACTGAGAGTTTACAGCAGTAATTTCAGCTTCTTGCTTGGTTTTCAGTCAGTCCTTTCTTAAGCAGAAAAAAAAAAAACTTCCTTGGGATGAAATCAGAGGAGAGTTTGCCTGTAAGTAAGTACTTGCAGCTCCGCTGGCTATATCTGCTGTAATGCTATGTTCCTTTTTGTCTGTAAAATAATGGCTTGAAGTAAGGAAGGGGCTGAGGGCAGGGCTGGCACAAATGGGACCGCAGGGTCAAGTCAGTCCACACCAGTCAGGGTTTTTAACACAGTTCAAGCCAAGGTCAGCTCCAAAAGTTCAAACAAAATCCAGATTAACACATACAGAAGGGATTGTGTTGTCACCGTGATGCTTGTTTCCTTTCAGGCTTTCCAAGGAGCAGGGGAAGGGACAAAGTTCTTGCAGAGGAAGGAAGGCGGCTCTTCTCCCTCCTGCCTGGGACAGCTTGGCTGGTTCTTACTGAGCACACAAAGTAGGATAGCACATAACACAGAGTGGTGTCATTGCAAATGTATTTGTTGTTGGCAGGCATTAAATCACTTTTTATAAGTGCTGCAATATGGCCATGTGGAAATTCCCAGTCTGCAAGAAGCTCCTTTGAATCAGGATGTTTTGTTTAAAAGGGGGGGGAAAGGGATTCAAAAAAACCCTACAAACTGGGGCTGTACCAAAATATTTTCAGTCTGGTTCATTGAAAAGAATGTCCTAAATTCCCTGCTGTTGATAGCCCCGTAGCCAAACTGTTAAGAAAGCCTAGAGCTTAAAAAAAAAAAAAAGCATTGCTATGAGGCAGTTAATTTAACTTTAATTTGATACTTTCACAGATGACCCAGCAGAATAACCACCAAGTTCCAGCTCTTCTGTGAGCCAGAGAGAACTGAGTGTGTTGCAACAATGACTGTATAGTGTCTGATTCATTGATAACTCTATAGGGTCTGATATAACAATAACTGTACAGTGGCTGATGCATTGATAACTCTATAGGGTCTGATTTAATGATAACTCTATAGGGTCTGATTTATCAATAATTCTATAAGGTTTGATTCAACAAAACTCCATGGGGTCTGATTTAATCATAATTCTATGGGGTCTGATTCAATAATTACTCTGTAGGGTCTGATGCATCAATAACTCTGTAAGGTTTGATTCACTGATCTCTCTATAGGGTCTGGTTCATCGATAACTCTGTAGGGTCTGGCTCAACACATCCCTGCACCTTGTTCCTCACTCACAGCACACACCTGCTCCCACCCATGGCCCTGCCTGTAGCCTACACACAAAAACCCCCCATTTCAACGGGGTGCCACTTGCTTTTGTGCCCCCCCACCTTTCCTCCTCCTTGACCTCAGCAGCCATATGATAACTCTTTTTCAGGCACCAAGAGGGAATATTTCTGCTCCTTGATGATGTCTAGAAGCTGCTCCTCGGGGAGGTTTGCCCCTGACTTTTAACACGACCAGGTTTTCAGCCGAGGGAACTGATCCAAACCCCACTTAAAGCAGAAACACCCAGAGGCTCGTGGGCTTCTCAGGACTTGGGACGAGCGGCTCCCGTTGCCGTGGAAATTCTCCAGGTGAGTTTCTGGAACGCCGGGTTTTCGAGTGCAGGGGCTGGCAGGCGGTCACAGGCAGCCCAGCAAGAATGTTGTGCCATGATATAAACCAAAGAGCCCCAAAAGACACACGGACTGGCAGGTTTTTAAACTGTTTCCAGTAGTAGTAAGCAGCGGGCTCCTGCTGAGTTCAAAAGGCAAAACGTCTCATTTAAAGCAGGGCGGACTGTATATCACTCTGTGCATAAAGTGGGGCTCTTCTATTAAAAGTTGAGTTCAGATTTCATGAATTAACATGAAATATTGCTTTCTTATCCTACCCTGGTTTCTGTAATAAACACACGCGTGTAGCGGGCTTAAATCATGGGAAGGGGGATGTTTGGCTGTTTGAAAAGGAGTGGGAAGTCAAAGGTTCTCCAAATGTGACAGCTCGGAGTTCAAATGAAATCAAATCTCAGAACCAGCCCAGGGGTTGGGTATAACCAGCAGGGCTGGTGTTCCCCAGTGCTTTGCAGGGTGCGTGGGGCTCAGGATTTGGTGGTTTTGCTGGTGATGCTGAGCCTTGCTGAGCCCAGATGGGGCTCTGCCCAGGCAAACCCCATCCTGCTGCCCATCCCTCAAGGGGACAGGCCCTGCTTGTCCTGCCCTGAGCAGCTTTCCCCAGCCCCAGAACAACATTTGCCGGCAACAAGGCTGGGAGAAGGCAAAGGACCGACCGAGGGCAAAATTCTGCCAAGATCTCTGTCCTCCTTCCTCAGCAGAAAGCCTGGAGCAGTTTTGCTGCAAAGTGCAGCTCCCCCTCCTCTCTGACCGCCCAAGCAAGGGGGTAAATCCATGGTGCTGTCACCAGGGCTTCCTTAGTGATTGTTTTGAGGATCCAGACCACGTCTGCGCCACGTCTCCGCATTTATTTTCTCGCTCCTTCGCTCTGGCTTGTTGCTGTGCAGGGTAGGAAAGTTTGCGCCATTTCCTGTTGTCTTTCCCTTGTGCTCCTGAGATATTGTAAAAATGTTCGGTATCCTCCAGTAGGTTGTAATCACTTCACCCTAATGTTTCACAGCTGCTAAGTGTAACTTTAAACCCCACCATCTGAGTGCTTACAATTAGCGAGTCAATGGGGCTGAGATCGGGTCTTTGTGATTGCAAAAGAAAAAAAAAAAAAGAGAAAACGAAACTTTTTTTTTTTTTTGTCCTGAGTTTTAATTGGATAAAACGGGAACAAAAGTTGCGGAGACGAGGGGGTTTTTTAATGCAATAAATGATTAGTGGCTTATGTGTGCTAGGAAAAAATAATTGAATCCACTGCTTGGCCTGCTTCACAGATGGAAAAGGCACCGGGACAAGCATGTGGCTGTGGAAGCAGCGCCTGTCCCAGGGACTGCAGGAGCCCCTCTCCGAGCTCGTGGCTCCCCACGTGTGGGAGCAGAGCTGGTGGGAACAGAATTGGGAAGAGTCAAGAGGCTTCAGCTGTGCCCCTCACCTGTCCCTGCCACGGCAGAGCATCCAGCCCTCCCATCACCCGCCCTACTGGGGTGGAAAACTGGGGCACAGGGGCTGTTCAATCTCACGTAATGAGATTAAAGGGTATAAAAATTATAATTAATATTAAATTTATTTAATGTGGACGTTGCATAACATGAATTGAATACAAGGGTAAGCTGGGGCTCGTACCGAAGAGTCCTCCCGGCCCAACCAGGGTGAAGCCTCCTCTGGCTGATGTCACTGGGTTTGTTCCCGCTCCCGCCTCCTGCACGTGCTGGGAGCAGGTTTCAATTACCCAGAAAATGCCTTTACCCTGGTGGAAGCAAAGGGCAGGACACAGCAGGACACAAGTCACTAACGCTGGAGCTGGACCAGGGAGGTGGCAGGGTCGCTGCCTCCCTGTCCCACGCGGTGCCTGGCTGTGCCCTCGCTCCTCCAACACTGCCCACGAGCAGGGGCAGGGCTGGAATTGGTGTTTCCCACTTCAGGATCAGCCTTGGGAACATGCCACGTGTCCCCCCAGCCTTTGGGACACACGGCCATTCCTGGCTGTGCCTGGGCATTGACACTGTCCCATCAATTGCCACCCCATCCCTCACTGGGCTCAGATGTAATTTGAAGCTGTGCATCTGTCAGTGAGTTCCCAGGCTGAATTTTTGCCTTTCTTGGGAATTTCTGCTGCAGGAAATTACACTAAAATACCGACGGCAGGGTCAGGGGCTTGCAGCCTTCCCTGTCCCCTCTGTCTCCTTCCCTCCATCACATCCCTTGGGGATGGGCACGGCGCAGCAGGGACGCTGCTCCCTGGCAGCCCTCCCTCCACGGGAAGAATTCCTGGCACCTGACCATAAATACTAATTAATAGCAAAGCCCTGGTCTAGATCAAGGAGGAGGCTCTGAATTTTCTTGGGAACTTCGCTGTCTGAAAGGTATCTGAAATATTCTGTAGCACTCAGCCTATCCCTGGGTCAATTATACGGTGAGCAGTCATACGAAGTTAATTTCTAATTTAATACAATGTTAAAAGGTTGTCAGGTTAAAATCTAATCTATAAACGAGACATGAAACGTCTCTTTAAAGCGAGTGTCGTGAACCGGCCCTGGCTCACACCACAGGCTGCTGCCTCTTTTATAGGGTGTAATTACTGCCCAGTGAGTATTTACAGTATTATTACAGGACACTGATAAAAGGCGGGTGCCATGGCCCGTGTGGCAGCCCAGTGCCAGCTGGGCACTAATCCCACTCCCACCCAGCCCCTTCTCTGGGGAGGTGGGAAGCAGGATGGGGAAAGAACCGATAGTGTTTTCACTTAAAT